ATAAATCAGCACAGAACAGTTTTCCCCTCATCTCCTCCTGCCTCCTTAACACAGCCCTGCTCCCACGTGGATTTATGTTCTCTCCCTAACTCAGCGGGACTATGAACGATACCACTGCCAGTGCCACGCAGCTTTGTCACTAACAGCCCTTAGCTCAAGGATTGCAGCATATTTTTGCTCCGTAATTTTTCTTTCCACAGTGACTTGCAAGCGTAAATGGAGATTCTTGCGCGGGTGCTGAGCGGGTCGGTTCAGTCAGAGGCGGTGCTGCGCTCCGAGCCCTTTCAGCTACCACACGTGGCAGGGAAAGCAAACACAGTACCGAAGTGCTGAATTTAATGACTATTAAAATAACCATGTCTGCCCATAATATTTGGCTGCTGTGATGCTTTTGTGAGCCCAAATATGTACCCAAAATCACGTGTTCAGAATCAATACCTGTTCCCAAACATAACGGGTGTCTCCTGAAGCTTTGTTATTTCTTTTACTGCAGGCAACTCCTTCTCCCCCTCGGTAAAGCTGGGGGGCTTGGAGAGGGGCTGCAAGCAGCTCTCCCAAGAGACACTTCACATCCCTCCGGGATGGCTCCCGGGCCGGGGCTTTCACCTCGGGAGCCGCACGGTCTCTGCGGCGCACACGGGAACCGCTGCATCGCGGGGCCCCACGCGCAGCCAGAAGCACCTGCAACGTCTGCGCCTTCCCCTCTCTAAAACACTATGAATATCCATATCACAGATTTCCAGGCGAGCAGTAAAGTATAGCAAAGGAGCAATAAAGCAGGTTTTAGGAAACCAGACAGCCCTGGCTAACAGCCTGGCACAGAAGGAGGTTAGAGGGGCTGTTGCCTTCCCAAAGACAACCATTTGCCTCTGTAGAGCTTGTCTGAAAGCAACAACAGCCTGAAAAATATTCCTAAAATATTCCTCCTTGTTTTATGAGGCTTTTAAATAATCAAGCCTAGAAAATGTATCAGCAAATGTGTAAACAAAAACCCTTCTATCTTGGCTAAGTTTTTGTGCCAGAAAGTTTATGAAGTTTATTCAGAGTGCAGCCCTTTGCATCTTTTTGAAAATTAAGTGGAAAACATTCTTTTCAAAAAGGTCAAAATAGCAAGTTTTTAAAAAATCTCTCCTCTGGATACATTTTTAAAAGGATCAGAACAAATCTTTTCATCTCTGAAGGCCCATGCAGCCCTCAGACCAACACGCACATTTAACAAGTTATTTTTCCGCGGTCACTTTCAGGCAGCGATGCAGAGACAAGAAATAAAGGAAGGAAGATGCTTTCAAGGCTGTTTCTATGAAAAAGGCAACATGCTAAGCAAACACAGAAACCACATGCAGGCCAAAATCATAGCAGCCAGTTAAACTCAGTTAACATCTGTTAAGGTTAACGATGTATAGGCAATCTTTTGCAACTTGCCTGTATTGCTAAGAAACAGAAATTCCAATTTAAAAAGTGCATTGTTTTTTTCTGATAGAGTTTTAGTGGAAATGAACTTCCAAGTGCCTTGTAGGGGTCTTCCCTTTCCTCTCCTGCAACGTGTGTTTATCACGGGTCAAAGCTGCCTCCTCACTTTCTCCCCTCCCCAGAATGCCACAGATTCTTCCCTAACATAAACAGAGCCCTGTCAGGAACTGCCGAAATTACCAGAGCTGCCCCTGCTCGAGATCAAAGATGCGAGTCACAGAAAGGGCCTTCTGCAGCCTCCAGGCTTCCACCGACGATGAAATTTCCAACCAACAAGGAAGTCAACAGCATCAAACACTAACAGCATGTTCGAGGGGCTTTTTAAAAAGCATCAGTTGGGGTGACACTGCCCCATTTCTAGAGGGGAGCTACCATTTCTAGGTATGGTTTCCTCAGGCATCCCAGTGGGTCTTGACAGGATTCGTTTTACACTGCCACTTAAATCTTATGGAGAAAAACCTTTACTTAAAAGAGAAATGCAAAATTTCAAAATCACGTATCAACCTCTAAATGGGGAGGAAAGCGATTTCTGATGTTTCTATTTGCTCTGCAACAGAGCTCGTCGCTGCCTATACTGCATTGCACATAACAGTGATTCAGTGTCTTGTGACGGAATGGCAACCCCTTGCTTACTGCAGGCAGCAGTGGTGCTTCTCAACCTGCCTTTTTCTCATAACCAAAAGGAAATGTCTCAGTGATGTTTACAAATTGGACTTCATTTACTCACAAGAAACGCATGAGCAGAGGTAACCTTGGCTCCCAAAGCTGCTGTTATAACTTAGTGAGTCACTAATACAGAAAATTCACAGGTTCTCTGCACTCTTGAAGGCACGCATCTAAAACTTCCAGGGAATATTGGCATTTCTTAAGAAGAAAATAGCTTTCATTGTATTTTTCTGTGACTGCTGCCAAAAATATATATAATATGTATAAATTTCTCACTGTGGGCTAAAATTCACTTGAAAAGAACCAATAAATACTTTTTATGTACAATTTTTCTCCCGCACATTAGGAAAAATAAACCTTTAAAATCCATATGTGTCCACTTTACATATTTTAAATAAGTAAATTATAGAGTGGCAAAGTTAACTATTCTAGCATCAATACACATTTCTCTAGGTAGCCCAATCATACCTTATTTTTAAAATCCTTTAATTCTGTATATATGTAGATGCATGCATAGGATGTAATGCTCAGATTTATAAAGTTGTAAATGAGACAGAAAAAAGGCATCTCATGTAGCTCCCATGGCCCAGGTCAGTCCAACCACAGCGCTAAATAAAATGTCTTAATTCTTTCTTCATTTATTACTGCCTTATTGCAAAAGAATGAAGCTGAAGGAGGTAACAGCCTGGGAAGTCAAAGCTAAGGCCTGACCTTCCATGTCTGTCTAACCTATCTGTCAGCTCCCTGGTGTCTCCCTCAAACACACACACGCTGTCGTTTCCGGATGAGTTTGGAAGGGGACAGTGAGAGCATTTTAGGATGTGTCACTTCGGCAGCAATTTGGGTGCTGTGCAAACATTTTTCTGGTGATTTGTGTTTTGGTAGTTTTATCTGTTTCCAGCTTATTATTAAAGGTAGTTTATAAAAAGTTTAAAATATCGGTATTTTGTGTAAAAGAGATCTGTATTTTGTTTAAAAAAAAAGAACAAAACTCATCAGCTCTTTTGCTCATTTATTTTTCCCTTGAAAACTCTGCAGTTTATTCCCTCTATGTCCTTTTTTATAGCGTTCTTTAAAAGCCCACAGTGAAACATTAGGTTAATTACTAAGAAAATGCTACTACCCCTGGCTCCCAAGTATCTTTTTTTTCTTAATGTGACAAGGACTGACCAAAGGGCCAAAGAGGCTGAGACCCCGGCTCACGTCCTGCAGCAGCCCCCCCTTCCAAAGGAAAACAAAAAGCAGGGAATACTTTCCGCCACGTTCACAGTCCTCCCCGCTTTCTTGTGAAGTCAGCCTTTATTACATTTCCTTTCTTATTTGCAAGGTCTTGGCTCTGACATTGATTCCTTATCTATGACAAATGTTGAGAGTTAATAATCTATGGCTTTAAGGAAGGATAATACTAAACAAATTATAGGCATTAGCTACTCGAAAAGCCTTTAAAAATTGATGTGAGCGTTACAGTAAGTGCAGCAAAAATTGCTTGACACTAGCAAAACCCAGCTTTTTTTCACCCATTAATGGGCAAGCATTAACAGATTAAAAGAAGCTATGTTTTAGACAAGGGTGTCTCCTGACAACCTAAAGTGAGGTAGTCAGAAAACACAGAGTGACTGCACTAGCAAACTTCACAGAGAAATCTCAAATGAAAGGTTTCTTTAACGGGTTTTTGCATTTTTGAGCATTTTGCTCACATTGTATTTTTTTTTTTAGGATGAAAAGGCGAAAGCTCAGAACGTTTTTCAGATAAATTAAAGTAACCAGGGGGCTGCCAGGAGCACCCCTGTGCTCTACGCGCCCCTCAGAGCGGCGCTGCCGCCGGCCCTCCGCGAGCTGCCGCCATTTGGCTCGGATTAGCCTCTCAGGGAGACAAAAGCGGGAATTCCTGCGCCGGGGCAGCGCCTCCCCCACCCCCCCCCATCAGCCTCATAAAACCTTTTCACAACACACCATTTCCAAGGGGGATCCTTTCAGGTTTTAGGATGCTGCTCCTTTTACCGAGCCACAAAATGCACCGCGGGGCGTCTCGCTGACCGCGCTGCGCCGTCCTTTGACCCCGGCGGCCGCTGGGCCTCGCTCGAGGCCGCCGCCATCGCCCGCCGCCATCGGCCGCCGCCTCCTCGGGGCGGCCGGGGAGCCAAACGTGGGGGGCTCCCCCCCAGGCCAGGCTCGGGCTCCGTCCCCACAAGTGGCCGAGCCCAACGCTTGGGATGTGGGGCTGTGCGGGGCCCCTCGTGGCCGTGACCCCCTCGCGTGGCTTGGCCTCCGCGCTGCTCCGGGATACAAGGGGCTGTAAAACAGGAGGAGCGCGTGGGCCTCCTGGGCACACTGCTGGCTGCTCAGCTGCGGGAAGGAGCCTGCGGGCCCAACCTCCCCGCTCCGCGGTGGGAAAAACCCTCACGGGAATCTCAATCCGCAGCACAAATCCTTCCAGCATCTGCCTTCCCGTTTGCTTTACACTCTTGGAGGGCGCAAACAAACACACACGGACCCGCCGAGCGCATAAAGCACATTTAAGTAGGAGCTTGGGTATTCGCGCTGCTTCTAAGCAACGTGGCAAAGGAAATTTGTTAAGGCTTCCAAGTGTCATTAAGCAAGGATGCTGACCAAAGCAATCACGGCAGCACAGATGGGCCCTCTGCTGCGGCCTTCTTGGGATTATATGATCAAGATCTCAAGATTTTGGAGAATGATGAGGAAGTAGGTAAGCAAAGCAAAAATAGAAGTTATTTACAGTCCACGATGTTCGTAAAATGCAGCTGTTGGGAACAAAAACACACACGCTGAACAGAAAGAGACTGTTTCAACACACGTTGAACACAGAAACATGTGTTCTCTGCGAGGAAGGGTAAGCACGGTACCTTCTCCGATTCCTTTCAGCCCGTCTGAAATGCAGTCATGATTAAGGGATGCAGCTCAGAGGTGGTGAATCTTGCTGCTGAGTTGCTTAACGCTCCCAAACTCCTGAAAAACAAGAAGGGAGAAAGACGTTAGCAGGACTCAGAGCAGCGCATTGCTCAAACGCCAGCAAAACCTGCCTGCCACAACCCGATCCAGGGCAGAACCTGAACCCGCGCAGGGCACCACAGCGAGCAGGTTTGCAGGTCGCTCCAGCATCTACTACATTGAGGTATTTTCATTTCTCTGTGCAAGATGACCACATTAAAAAAAAATAAAAAAAAAAAGTTTACAAGCCTTAGTTCAGGCTGCCTTGCATTTTCTCTGTATTCTACCAAAAGAAAAATATGAGCTTGTCGGTATCTGCAAGTTTTTGGTAGGAAAGCAGCTGAACGAAGTATTAGGAATTTACCACATCAATATGAGAAAGTTAGCTAGCACGGAAGCATCAAAACTAAAAACTTAAATGATAACATAGAAATAATTGTTTTATATTTGGATTAAAAAGACAAAAAAGAAAAAAAAAGAAATAAAAAAGAAAAGAAAGAAAAAGGAAAGAAAAGAAAAAAATGGAGGAGCTGATAAGTGCTTTAAAGTAGAGATTGGTGTTCAAAATGAAGTCAGAATTTGCCATTTGCCCTCCCATCTGGCATGCCATAAAGGTATGCCAGCAAAGATGCTTCTAATAAAAATCACAGCTCATAAAAGAGGATATACTTGAAACACCCAGGCGAATGGCAACACTGCAGCAAACAGCAAGCAGAGCAGCAAAGCAGCAGCTCGGAAAATATTTGGGCTGGACAAAACAGTCATTAAGATCAGGACAGGCTTTAGCTTATCACTGACTGAACTTTGACAAGACTTGCTTGGGCGTACAAGCTGGTTCATTTCCCTGAAAGGAATGGACAATATTTTGCCAAAAGGTTTGAAAGAATTCTCCCTATTGATTGCAAATGAGGTTTTAGGCTTAAGATTGCCCCCCGATTTTGGTCCTCCTGTCAAAAGCAGGACGTACCTATCACAGAAGGACATGAGCACATTCATAAGGCAGGTCTTAAAATGAAAAGCAATACAGCTTTAAGCCTCTTCCTCCTCTTATCTTTAAACACAATCAATGTAAGCGAGTAGTTATAACCCTTACCACTCGGGAGGAGGAAAAGGTTTTGATTTAGCATTTTTGTGTTACGAGCAAAGCCCCGTGGACAGCTCCATTCCCCGGGCCCAGGGCTGCGTGTCCCTGCGGCGCTGCGAGCAGCAGATCCCTCCCAGATGGGTGGCCAGGTTCACACGCGCTGCGCCCGCCACACTGTACGGCCACGCGCAGACCTGAACGATTTCAGGGCGCCAGTAATCCAATTCCTACAGCTCCTGGCTCTGAAATTGCTATTTTTCGGACACGTGCTGAACATTTCACCTGCTAGTAATGACATTTTTGTATTTTCTTCTAATTACACTCGAAGCTAAGACCTTTGGCCCTAGGCCACGGACCCCTATTCAGACTGCACACATTCTCTTAAACGCCCTGATCCTTTGTTGTCACTCTTGGTCTTTCATCTATTATTTACATCCATTCAGGAGAGAGATACTCTACCATTTGTGAAGCTTTAAAGCTTCTAATCATCTTAATTTCTTCGCCTTTCAACCGCTGCTTCCCCTTATGGGCCAATGCCAACAGTGTGACAAAATAATTTTTCAAGCCAAGATCCTCCTGGACCCTTCCCAAACCTTGACACATCCTGGGCTTGTCTTTTGTTCTTCTCCGGCTGCCTTTGCAAACACAGACCCTTGGCTCCGTGTTTGGGAGCGCGAGGTTGACTGTTTGCAGCTTGGGTGCTTTGGATTTGCAGTTTTGGGGGTTTGAGGTTGTGGGGGTTTTTTATTATTATTTTTTTAATCCTCCCCCCCCCCCCCAATTAAAACATCTAGTTTAATTAGCCCAAGTAATTCAGGGAGATATAGAGGTATTGCACTGAATCTTCCGTATTTTAAAATCCTTAAGCACTTTTTAAAACACAAATTCCTAATAAGAGTTCACTGAATTTCCGAAAGCAAAGCTACCAATAAGCTCAATTTTGATTCTATTCTGTTACGAATCCACCCAGTACTGAAAGATTCTCCCAAATTCTTGACAATAATCAAGAAACACAAAATACCAGAAACTCTTTTGCTGATGATGAGCGGCATCAGTTTGTCTTAGCCTCACACCCCAGCACAGCAAGAGGATGAAGCCCCTGCCCTTTTCGGATAACATCCTTCTGCTCCTCTCCTGCCTGCAAATGAAACACGACACAAACCCACAGCCCCTCTGCCGAGGCCCAGAGGATCTCAGGAAACAAAAGCCGCCAAGGCTGGTTTCCTAGGCAAGGGACATGATAACACATCATCCATCTCGGCTCTCTCCTCGCCTCTTGCCCGGCATACTTTTGATTTCTAACAGTGTTTCCTTGTCGTCTGGCCCTTCTGAAGCCCCCAACCCCCTTGTCCTTTCTTATTTTCACCATTTGCTTCAACCAGCAGTTCACTCGAGACCCATCCATCTCCCGATGCCTCAAGTGACAGATGCTCTCGGGAAGGGCCGCGCCGGCGGGCGAACAAAAGAGACTGTCGCCCCCGCGAGCGCGGCGCGAAACCAGCCCCAGCCCCAGCACGGGGCCGCCCTCACGGACACCGCCATAAACCTCTCTCAAGGGGCAAAAGAAAAACAAGCGCCGAGAAAAGGGACCTGACACAATCAAAGGGCACAGAGAGCGGCCTTTCTCTTGCAGCTTAGTTGGTGGTGTAAAAGGAGGGTCGTTTTACTTGGTCCCCCTCCCCCCCCCTTAACGCCCCGCAGAAGGATTTTGTGGAATTTGCCTATAATAAAGTCAAGGGGCACAGACAGAATGGGAATATCCAAGGCAAACTGTCTCAAAAACCCTACAGAATTTTATAGAAAAAGAAGGCACTTCAGAGCCTTCAGTTACAACACGACACACAAGCCCTTAGCCAAAACACAGCCGTGGCTTTATTAAAACCAATAGGCCCTACAGACCAGTTGCTCGGTTAATTTTCAGAAGGATCCATAATTATAACACAGACACAGGTCCTTGGTGAATAAACAGTGTAACTGCAGCAAGACTGTTTTAATGTCACAGGTGCTTGCCAGATCTGTAATTTAGGAATAACAGATTCACAGTGTTTTGACATTTTAATACATGCCACTTAAAACATTTTTTTTTTTTAAGAAATGGGAAATCTCTCACTCATAAACCCACATAACTTTCTATGGAACAAAGACCTGTGGCCCACACTTAAGACTGAAGCAAAAACAGCTGACTCCAAACACGCCCAGATCTCCTTATCCCACCTGTGAAATGGGACCTGCTGAAGACAGGCAAGTAGTTATGGGCATACTGTGAATCTCTTAAGCAACAAATAAAAGGTTATATTAGCGTTTCTCAGTGATTAGCTAAAGCAGTGCCACAAATGCTGGGAACCCCCTTTCAGGAGGGAAAGAGAGCTCTGCATGCAACGAAATGCCTTCTCTCTCAGCAAAGCTCCACACAGGGTCAGTTTTCAGACACCGCAGGAAAGGGCCATTGCTACAACAGGTCAGCCTGACAGCACGGGAGCTGGACACGTAGAACAAAGACCAAGATGGGGCTGTTTAACATCATCTGCTCAACGTAACGCCCGAGAAAAATCCCCATACGCCTCCTGTGGCCGTATCTATTAATTAATTGTTCTGCAATGGGTGTCTCTGCACCCCAGCTGCAGAGAAACAATAAAAATGGAAAGTTGAAGGCTGAAGCACTTCCATAAACCTTGCTTCCTTTTATCAAGTGATACATGCCAGGCATTGTATAACGTTTAGTTTTGGATAGTCTTTTTTTATTTATTTATTTTTTTAATTAGAAAAAGGAGACGGAGTGTTTTAGAGAATCAATAACATCAGAAAATATTTTAGTCCTGATCTGCATTCTGTCCTGATCTGGATTCTTTCTACTGTACTCTCATTACCAACATCAACCTACTGTGCTGTAGAGACCAAAACAGGCGACAGCTACACAGTCTTTAACATACTTGATTTTTCCCATTGCGTGTCATGCAGTACTATTTTGGACATCCAACGTGCAAATAGTAAGTCAACAAACAGCCAAGTTCGGTCTTTCTGCTTCCTCCATGGGCGATCTCAACTCTGGGCTTCATACGGCCTTCAAATCCTTGATTATGTCCCATTTAATTGAAAAAAGGCTTGCAGGAAGGAAAGTCTACAGAGGAGGATTATTAGTAAGCACCTGGAGAGAAATGTACATGGAGAAGCCCGCTGTCCGCCTCGCTTCCCATGCAGCTCAGCTCGCTCCATGCAGTCTAGGAAAGCTGGGTCCACTCAAGTGGCAGGGGTTAGGATACAATGTTTTCACCTAGCACCCCTGGAAATCCTTGCAGCCGGCACGGGCTAATAGCAGTAGCAGATACCCCATCTTATAAAATCTTTGCCCAAACAGAAATCTTATCACAGGGGCAATCCTTACATGGTGCATCTCCAAATATTTATCATGGGAGCAAGCAGTGTTTACAGCACGTAGGCAATCCATCTTGTACATGCTGCTGGCTCTAACGTGGGAGAAAGAGGGAGATAAGAGGTTAGAAATGCTCAAAAGAGACCCCAAGAAAAATCTGGGCACTACAGAGATTTTGCCAGGAGGGACAAGGTATAAAATAGCCTCTTGGACTCAAACCTCCTATGTGATGGGTTGGGCCATGGATATAGATCCAAACAGCAGTGAGTAGAAACCAAACTATGTTATTTAGTTTAGTATTTTGTAGTACTAGATAGCTTGGAAAAGCTCGCATTTTGTGGAAGCAACATTTTGTAGTTCAAACTGAACATTTCTAAATACACATACTTGTCTAAATTCTCATACTTGTCATTCTAACATAGTCCAATTTTAACACGAGGGGGGGAGAAAAGAAAAAAAAAAAAGGAAATCTTGTCATTAGTTACAGGAACTTTTGTCATTGCTATTAAGTTATTGACACTGAAACATGACCTTGAAATGACAGCTCCATTAATGCAAGTCTTA